ACGAATTCACGAATTCATTTTTTTTTTTTTTTTGTCTGTCATCATCTTTTAGGACAGTAAAAGTGCTTGGATTTTCTTCAACAATATCTTTTCTGATAGGAAAGTGAATCTAGTTGGTACTTTGGGGGGGGGGGGGGGGTCAAAAGCAAAAATTTCACATTAGTTTTCAAAAGCGCCGTGAAAAACAAAAGAAAAATTAAGGAAAACCGGGAATTTTTACGCAAAATCTGTTTTCGAGAAAATTGATTTTGGTTTTTGGTGTAACTTTAAAACAAATGACTAAAATGAATAATAGATATATGAAATTTTCACTGGTTATTTATATTTCCATTTTCTATACATGATAAAATTTTCTAAATATTTTGAGTTATTTTGAGCTTTTTACGGACATTTTTAGTTTCCATTTTTTTAGTTTTTTTTTCTATAAGTATCAATAAAATTTTATTTGTTGGGTATAAAAGCTTAAACATTTAATAGAAGGCTCCTAATATATTGTTTCAAAGACAGATGAAAAATATTAAAAATCCTTACTCACAGTTTTTTGTTATAAGCATTTAAATTCCAAATATTAACAAAATACTACAAAATGACCAACATTTGCAAATTATTTCGAGTTAGAAATTCATAAAAATTTTTCTTTTTAAATCTAAGATATGAAAATGTAATGCAAGATTCCTCATAAGTTTTTTCTACTTTTATCAAAAAAAAAATGTCTACAAGAATCTCAAATTAAATTTTTATCAACGTTTGAAATTCATATTTTTACAACATTTGATATTCACTCGATTTCTCATGTAACGATTTTCTAATTTTGTTGTAATTAAAAAACGAATGACTGTAGATACTTGAAAATTTTACTAAATTTTTATATTAGCATTTCCTATACACCATATAGTTTTGAAAATATTTTGATTCTTTTTGAGCTATTTACGGACATTTTCAGTTTTCAATTTTTTTAATTTTTTTTCTATTCATATCAATAAAATTTTATTTGTATGGTAAAAAAGCTTGAAAATTGAATGCAAAGCTCCTGATATATTGTTACATTAACACTTGAAAAATATTAAAAATACATAGGCACAATTTTTTTTTATAATTATTTAAAATTCAAATTTTGACAAAATTTATCACATTTAAAATTTAATAATAATTTTATAGTTAAAAATTTATAAAATGTTCAACTTTTATAGCTAATGATTGAAAATTGAAAACAAGATTCTACTTAAATAGGTTATATATAAATTGCTTTATTCACCTTAGTATCATCAAATATAGGTACTTATTAATATCATAGGCTGACTTAACCGTCTTCGCTCAGAATCGTTTTTCTTATACAATGATGTTAGTATATCATTGAATTCAAATTTAATACCATCGATTATACAGTGACCCACTTGTACCCTACTGTACAGCAGAGCACCTTTTTTGTTTATCAAACTTAAATAACTTTTATTTTGGTTTTGATATCGGAAATATAAAAACAAAGTTACAGAGTAAATTTTCTCATTTTTCTAGTGTGAACATTTAGTTTTTTAGCTTAGAGTAGAGCCTGAATGTTTTTTATACCCGTGCAAAACAGTTTTGCCTATGTTGTACCTATACGTCTGTAATACGAAGACAACACATGTGGGTGTACCTAGCGTCTTCTTTACAATCATACAGACTATTTGATACATTGAACTTTAGAAATTATTGTATACACTGTACAAATTAAATCTAATGCAATGCAGAAATATTAGGATTAGGGGGGTGTGGGGGGCTTTGCCCCCCACGGATCTGTGAACCATAAATTATCCCAGCACCCCCTAAATTAACACCCTATGTGCGCCTATGGCTATGATGTAGTATATGAACTAAGAAGGATATCATGTCATAAAATATACGATTAATGTTATACGCCATTTGAACTTTGATAAGTCGTAAATTTAAAATTTTTATTATTAAATATTTGTCCTCAAGGGCATGAATAGGTTGAGCTTATATAGGTATACTCAGATACTCAGGTAGTCAAGTCTCGGATAATTATATAGTTACGTACATACATAGGCACATAGATATTCAATAAGGCAGAAAATTACAATAATTTACGTTCTCAATTATATTATTATTTTAATAACCGTCAGCTTAAAGTTTAATTAACTAACAAATAACAATACATTTTATGTTACATAGAACCATATATAAAGGGATTACAATAAAATGAATAACTAAACCAATTTATTATTTTTCAGTTATAAAATTGTCCTTTTTTATACACGTTTAACTGTACTGATAATATTGGTATATGAAGATTGTTATATATAGTATTATTTTTAAAATACAGTAAAATGTAAATTGTTGTTTCAAAATTGCACAATTTTGAACAATTCAAACAACATACTATTAGGTAAGTAATGGTGGGATTTGACTTTATCTTTAGGTTTGTGTGTCGAAATGGAGGTTTCAGATAAAAGACACATTATGACTTATGAGTCATAAATATATACCTCTATTCAAGCGGGAAACTGTGAATGGGCTAGTGTCCACAAAGGATGATAAATCCTTACGAAAACTTGGTAATATTATTTACATATAATATAAGTGATGTATAAGTACTAGGTACTGTAGTAGTATATTGCTTTTTTTAAAAAGTTATTTTTTATTCCCGTTTAATTGTAATGATAATATTGATATGCATATTATAATATAGGAAGTATTATTTTTACAATACAGCAAATTATTGTCTTCACAATTGAAACTAAGAAAAATTAAACTATTCAAGCATTAAGGAACATATTATATGGGTAATTTATAGGCTACTGACCTTCAATCTTAATTATTGTACATTTAGGCGATTTATATACAACTGGATAAGTAAACACCGAACATCGACATTCTACTATTATATGTATATATTATAGAAGTATTCGATAACATTTAAGCATTTAACTTTATCAGGTTTGTGTGTACAAAATGGAGGTTTGAGATAAAGGATACATTATGAGGTATATATACAAACTATATATAACCGTATATATAAACTATAAACTATAATTATTAACTATACATATTATATTATATACATTTTGTAAAGCGTGTGAAACTGTGAATGGATATGTCTTGGCCCTTGGTGGATGTTAAACACTAACGAAGACACGGTAATATTATATTTACATAATATAATATAAGTGATATAGCTATATGCTGATAGTATATTATACTATATAATATACATAGTACAGTATAGTTCAGACATAGTAATAGGTAATGTATGTTATATAGTTAACCCATTGCATATAATAATATGTTTGTGTACATAAATAGGATTAATGGATTCACGTCGTTTCTGAAATCAGCAATAAATTAAACAATTGAAACATAATTAGTCTTTGTAAAAAAGTATGTACGCATTTGAAATGATATATATGTTATTTATGAAAAAAAAAACACCAACAAAATAAAACGTACATTGTTCACCGGCATATAGAAGAATGTACCACAGAACGCGGGCAACTCACTGCGAGTGGCTTATAATAATAGATGTAGAATTTGTATTGTGTCCGTCCAATTCTCAGGGGGATCGATTGAATAAAATATAATATATTTTTTAACCAAACCGCCGCGGCGGTGCGTATAGAATAAGGATTAATGCGTGTCGTTTCGTCGTCGGGTATATAAATTAAATCCTGTTACGTTTATAAGGATCTCTAATTAATTACACACATTTCTATTTTCAATAATATATTGCAGACGGCAAATATATAGCTTAGGTAGATACGGTGAATATAATATAGGTAATAGTAATAATAATATGTGAGTTCAAAGCGCCTACACCCGCGCGTGTGTGTGTGTGTGTGTGTGTGTGTGTGTGCACTGCAAATTTATAAAATAAAAAGTAAATACTCAAAGGGCTTAACGATAATGCCGATAATCGAATGAAAAGTTATAATAATAATATATAACACTGCACTTCTCACGTGTGCATCGTGTGGAAAGTACTGATGCAGATTTAACGCTGTGCATTATATTATTTTATAATTTATAATACATATTATGCATATAAATACCAATTACCGGGTAGCAGCTAGCGGTATGGTGGTGATCCGTTTAACGTGCTACGCTAATAATATAATATTTTTATTTTTGCTCTGCTTGTAATAATAATTATGATTTATGAGTTGTAACTTATAACAACGATAAATTTGAAAACACTTATCTCGTTATTTTGTTAGTAAAGTTTTGTACTTTTTAATGACGACAACCCTTGATATTATAATATATATATTTTACACTCTGATACTGAATGTTTTTCCAAACATTTCGATAGGTAATAAATATAAATTGTATTGCATCATATTATATAATTATATTAATCATACTTGATATATTAGAAGTTTAAACCACAACTACAATTGACTATTGAGTATAATGCGTGAAAACGGATTATTATTTTATTTTTTTTTTTAATTTATTGAATTTGCAAAATAACAATAATAACAACTATGGAGTATGGACTACTATTATAGTCCGGCATAGTGTTTTGAAGGTGAACACAAGGAAAATAGATGACATTATTAACTATTTTTATATATTATAATATTATGTACAATATTTAAAAACGTATAACAATTATTATAAATAATTCTCATATTAGACAAAAAAAAAATAAATTATTATAAAAACAAAAATTCGAATAAATATATAATAACAATACATAATAATATGTAAGATAATAATAATAATAAATATAATATAATACTCATTGTCGTTCAAGTATGGATATTTACATCAGCGGTCACGTCCGCATCTCTTATAAGATAAATAATTAATATATTATTTTATTTTTTTGATTCGTAAGATCACGAGAACGGATAGTCTTATTTGGTGATCACGACGACGGTCGGCGCCGTGATTGATAATTAATAATAATTATTATAAGTTTGTTAAAAATAATAATAAATTACAAAATATTATATAATAATATTGTGTCTATTGTCTATAATAAATCGCGTGACGGTCGTTTATGGGTAAATGTTTTGTAGCACTTCAGAGTACAAATTGTCGTATGCGCTCTGCAACAGGAACACGTCTGTCGGGCGGCCGTTGAACACGTACGGGCCTTTGTCTAGATGGTAGATCGGTGAATCCGGTTGCTGTTGCTGAGGTGGAGGCGGCGGGGGTGGTGGCGATGGCGTGGATGACGGTTGCGGACGTCTGTTCGGTTTCTGCGGCTTGCCCGGCAAATGCTGCTGCTGCTGTTGGTGCTGGTACTGGTTGTGGTGCTGTTGCGGCAGCGTGTATATTCCCACGGGCTTAGCGTTGGACACGTAGCTCAGTGGTAGGTTCAGAAACGGCGAGTGCGGCCGCTGCGTGAACGGCGGTGGTTCCAACCGCGTCGGTTGGCTGACGTAACCGTAACCGGGCACGTACATGTACGGTTGCGGTGGTAACCGGATAAAGTACACGGGCGAGTCGGGCTTGGCGGGTCGCGCCCGGCTCGACAGCCGCATATCCTGATCGACGGCGTTGCTGTCGTCGACGGTCCTCAGCTCGTCCTCGTCGGCCGGATCCTGCAGAGACAACTGTTGCTGTTTCTGTTGCTGGTGCTGGAGCTGGTGCGGCTGTTGTTGGTGTTGCAAGTAATACGGCAAGTCGTCCATCACGTCGTCGTACAGATCGACCGCGCCGCCGGCGTGGAGATGGTACTGATGCGGAGCCTGCGGCGGTGACTGGAACAGCGACCTGGACCTTTTGTCATTGCGGTTGGCCGGTACAGCGGCGGCGACCTGCAGCGACGGCGGTGACGACGGGGTAGGCGTAGGAGCAGCGGCGGCGGTGGCGGCTACAGGCAGCGAACTGCACGGCCGCAAGACGCACATTCCGAATACGGCAACGACCAAGTATGTGAGATCCATAATAACCACCGCGACCTGTACAAATATATACACACTCGGTTAAAAATCACACATTATATATATATATATATATTAATGTATGTTTGTATGTGTATGTGTGTGTGTGTGTGTGTATATGTGTATGTGTGTGTGTGGAGATAGGTAGGTACCTATATAATATAATATAATATGTATTATATGAGAAGATCGTATAATATTATATATATCGTCGAGCATATTATCGTCTATATATAGTTGTTATTATACACGGGGTGATCCATTTACCGTCGTGAGCTGTTCGTATAATATATTTTCAGAAAACATTAACGTTTTTGGGAAATATTTCTTTTACATATTTTTTAAATAGTCGTTATTATACAAATAATATTAATAAGTTTTTGGAAAATTATATTTTTTACTAGGTATTTCAAATCGTTATTATAGTTATTACCTATCATTTTTTAAGTTATTGTAATAACAATCGAATGAATAATTATCATCATAAAGAGAACCTACGCAGCAGTTCACCTGAAGCTGCCCAAATATCTTATTCTAATATGGCATGAGCTGCAGGTTCAGTCTAAATGTTGACCTTTGATATATATATATATATATTAATTTAGTATTTTAGTACATATACATATAGGTTTCTAAATTTTAATACTGAATGTTACACGCAAACGGCAAACAGCGAAAGTAGGTTTTCCTTTTAGCAAGTTTCGAATAGGTATAATTTAATGGATAGTGTGCTGTATACAGACGGTTCTAATAATGACGGCTATGGTATTTTGTCATAGCGTATTGTGTGTTTAAGCATTAATGTTGATGAGAAAATAATATATTCTTATGAAATATTCAAAATAAATTCACATCCTGACGTATTTTTCCTCTATTTTATATAATTTCCTCGTAAGTTTATAATGTGGGTAATATAATTTCCTAGGTACACATTATTATTTGTAACATATGACTTATGAGTGTTTGAAAGTAACCCGGTGTTTTTACGTTATCCGACACGAGTATTGACATCATGGCCCGTAAACGACCGCACTAAATGCGTATATACTATATAATTTACCTATATATATATATATATACATATTATAAACGATAAACTTAATATATAACTTAACTTTGCAGATATGGCATTTAAAACCATCAACGGGATTTTATTTAGCCTTGCTCGTCTTATAACCTATTATTGCGCATATGTAACGAAATCGAGGATAACGTTATTTATTAAAATTGTATAATCGCATATAAAGTGCAGTAAAATCTCTTAATTTTTTCTTTTTGGTTAGCTGTATACAACTTTACACTACAACACAAGGCCATATACTGATAACGGTAGTTGAATAAAAAAGGAATTCACGGTAAATACATTTTTCTAATATGATAGCGAAAACTAGTATGCACGGATTCATAAACGTTTGCATGAAAAATATCATAAAACACATAAATATTCAACAATAATTATTTTCTGAAAACTAATTAAAAATAATGTTTTTGTTGTAGGTCAGTTTCGTATAATTTCCGTTATAGTATATATCATTTATTATATGTACACAAACTAGCAATTTTTAATTACTTTATTGACTTGAAACTTTACTGTTCATTATTAAACATGCGAGAAATCCTCACACTCTACTTAGTACGTACAAAACTGTACATTATGGTAAAAAGAAATAATGATTAATCTATAGCAGTTGAAAATTGTAACATGTGAGTATTATAGTATAAATGCACATTAGAACATATTTTCGTTGTGCCTATATTGAACCTATCTAATTACAATACTGGAGCATTTGCATTTGCATTCTTTTTTTCTGTTTATTTTTTTTCCAGTCGCTGTTTGTTATCAGAAATTATATGAAATATATTTATATATGTGTAGATATAATATTGCTGGGCAATATATTACTTGTGAGTAGTGATTACTGTTAAATGTAATTGTATAGAGATAAACGTACAGATATATGGGTTTTTTTTATGTCATACTGCCGATAAAAAATATATATTCTCAGTCTTGTTTTTTTTTTTTACTTAGTCTTTACACTACTTGTAGATCTGTTTGATTTATTACAGACAAGTTTTATTAAAAAAAAATGTTTGAAAAAATCTTACAACAAGTCTTATCCTGCGCGTACATCAATAATAAAAAAAGTGTTTTTGGATTCAAACAAAATATGTAAATCTATTTATCTCACAACAATAATTGGTCTGTGTTATTGTTACCGCGACGATATATGCTGATTAGGCAGATTAGTGATCTACATTTAAACTTTTCCGCGTGAAACACAGTGTTAATATAGGTATAAAGATCGTTTTTATTGGCAATCACAATCGTAGATATAGAAACATTAGTATCTATATTGGTCAAACATCTTATTGTGCAGCAACGTCGTGTGCTTTTAGATAACTGAAAACACATGTACTCGAATACCAGGTAAGTACCCATTTCAACGTCCGGAAAACGGTTTTAGTGCTGCGCACCGCATAATGTGGGAATATCTTTGTGTTTTTTGATGAATGTCAACTACCTACCTACCTATACCCGCACACGATAGTCACGACTTCGATGACGACGACCGAGTGATGGTCTGTATTTCTGGAGCACGCCATATACGCGTATTATTACGAACGATAATGTTACGTGTGTCGAACATTTATGTGGTACAGCCACGCGGTACAGGTATATAATAATTGCAACGTCAATTGTATTCTTATATTATACATGTATCGGAATATACTATGTATAGGATATCATACGAAATGTTTTCTGGAGCTCGGTGACGGTCCGTCACGAGACCTCCGAAGAGGAGAGTGTACGGGCAAGAAAAATCACTTTCGGAAAATATACTACCACAAAATATTATAAAGAAAATCGGTTGCTCGTAATAAAATACAGCCGATCCTCGACAACTGAATGTTTTTCTTGCCCCCTGAAGTGTTTTTAAATTGTGTTTGGGGTACATAATTACTCCAAGAGTACATAAGTCGAATTTATTTTTATTTCCCTTGACCTGCGAGTTATCGAGACTTTACTGTGTAATATCATAATGTCGAAGTATACAAATGTATAAAAAAACCGCGTGTAATTATAATACAACCACAACGGATTAGCATCTCATATTTGGGCAACGATCGAAGAGACGCTTAACTTGTTTCGTCGATATAATTCGGTAGACAAGCAGACTAGGTCTGAGGGGGGTCCCCCAAATGGGTCATCTCTTCTCGTCGTCGCCTTCAGACGTTTATGTACCTATAGAGGAACCCGTTTGCCGGAGTAAATGTGCTCGAATATCTACAATATGTACTGTCGTCTCACTCGTCGGCGTATGAAATAAACGGTCGCGGATATTATTATAATATTATAATAATTTATGTGGACGGTCGTTTCGGGTCTGTCGTCACCCGTGCGGATGTCGTGGGCGTGTCACGTTTTATTTTCGCATAACCGGTCGCGGTATATAGACGAACAAATTCGAGTCCAAATATGCGTCCTATACGCATAACGCATTTAATAATAATACTATATATTTTTTATAGGTTCTGTAGAAAGTCGAATAACTACTGCGTGAAGTCATATTCTGCAAAAAATGGCGGCCCTGATATTTTTTAAATATACGTAAATTGCATAAGTTATTGAAAAACTAGGAACAAGGAGTAGAAAAATGATTGAATGAGATACATCAATTTTATTATACAAAAAAAAAAAATAAAAGAATTACATACAAAAAAAATTATTTGTTTCGACAAAGTTGTGTGGGAATTATCGTACATTCATATACAAATTCTTACCAGTCACCAAGTTTACCAGTTCCTAACTTTGAATGATTCATGTTTTAATCATAAGCAACATAAACAGCAAAATCAATATTTTAAATCGGACCTATATCAATACAGTTATTGTATTGTCAGTCCAAGGTCTGAAAAACGGAAGGAAAATATTGATTTTCAAAAATTTCCCCCTACGTAATATTTACGAATGAATAAAATATATCCAGGCGACAATATTAACATAAAAATTTAAAAATGGGATGCAATTTACAACAACCCACCTCGCGTGTGCCACTATAAACCTAGGTACGTATATACATAATATATACCGCACATAGCACGCTATAATATAGAATTGCACCTCTTATCTTTATGATATCATTACACAGGACGATTACTATACCGTATACACTTACGGAGGATCGTTATTATTATAATACAATAAAAATATATTAATATGCGTATACTTTATTGCGGGCAGACGGACTAAGCGGTGTCTATAATTTTTACGCGATTTACGTCGCCAACGGCCGAGTGCGTGAGTTTTTTTTTACATTTTTTGAAACTCGGTGTATATGTTATATTATAATAATAATAATATTTTTTATAATATTATTCAACAGTTGCATCGTGGTCGTCGGGGAGATCGCGGCTGGTGCAACGTCGTCTTGTGCACCGCGGTAGTCGCTCGAGGGCCGTTAATTCGTCGGGCGGCGACGGTGCAATTAACGGTCGTGCGTGCGCGGTCGGCTGTTGCCGCGGTAGAGGTGGTCCGCCGTGTGCGCAGCGCGTTCAGACGGCGCGCGTGTTGTGTATACGTTTCAGTGTTGTCAGGTATATACCTGACTTGTACCTGTGTATATACGGTAGGTAGGCCGGGTCAAACGAGTGCACTGGCCCGGCGGCGGCCTTGCAAGGTCGAATTATTATTATTTTTTTTTTTTCGCTTTCCGAGGAAATTGTCGCCGTTCACAATAATAATATGCACGCGAAAAATGATGATGTCACCGGTTTTCGTAAAATACGTCGTATATTATTAATTTATTCTTAAATTGTTTTCCTTCTCAAAAGTCGAGTTATATTGTAAATATTATGGTAATTAAATTGATTTCAGATTTCAATTTGGACGAGTAGTAGAAACGGGAACTACGTATACGCCAATCGGAACTCTATACCTATATAGCTTCTGCAGATCGTTTTACGTATACACTACCTATAGGAACGAAAAGCAAAAAAGGCAC